TATATGGCAACAAGAGAAAAATATGATGTCATCTAGTAACAACTAGTAAGACAATTTGTTTTAAATAGCAACAAATCAAAAACATGTAGCCATTAATTATTAAAAAAACTAAAACATAAAATGTCGCTTTTAATTAGGCAATGAAATAAATTATATTCGTTGCTATTTAGCAATGTTTTAAAAATTTGTTGCCAAACTTAGTTGCTAAAAAACTTTTATTTTTGTAGTGTATTAGGATTAGGATTCTTAATATTTTATCTTATTTTAGAATATAATTATTAGTTTCCTATCTTATCTTTGTACGGTTTATCACCCTATAAATATGGGTGTATATCAATAATAGTTAAAGAAGAATAAGAGAGATTTGTTATGGGAATTAATCATTTGAGCGTTGCTCGTTTGATTGTTAATCAAAAACATCACTTGTTGCGACTCGCGATCATCTTCTAGTTGCGACTAGGAAGAGACCTTCTATTCCCGCGAGAATTAGAGTATTATCCATTTAATTTTCGTGTAATTTCTTTAGTTCTTATTAAAATCCGAAGATCCAATGTTATTATAGCTTGCGAGCCTTGTGAGAGTCTTGAAAGATCCACATAAAAATGTATAAAGAATAATTGAAATTATGAAATGTGTGAATAATTTTGTTATGGTCCAGAAGAACCAGAAGTGACGCATTGAGATGATTATTCATGTTACCGATAATTCTTATTTGACAATGATATATATATATATATATATATATATATATATATATATATATATATATATATATATATATATATATATATTATATGAGTGTTTCATCAGAAATTGATTAATTTCAGCTATATATTAATGACCTCCAGAAGAAGGTAAAAGTAACTCAAATATATAAAAATGTATAAGAACCATAATCTTTCAAACCATAATCTTTCATATATATATATATATATATATATATATATATTTTATATATATATATATATATGTATATGTATGTATTTGGAATTTTGTAAAAATAGTGTTACATAAGAATGAGATCCATACACCATTACATTCTATGTGTATTAGTATCGTAGTCAGATGACAAGAAGATAATTTAACGATTCAAGTGAAGATTTGAAAACTCAAGTTAAATTTTGGAAAATCAATTATTGATGAAGATTTTTTTGCTAACTTGCTACACATGAGAAGTTGCTTGTGTCAGTATTGGACCCATTGCATTGAAGATCTGAAGTGATGTAAAAATAAGGGGAGAAAATACGCGCTATACTTTTTTCCCTTAACCATAGTTTTGTCCCACTGGGTTTTTCTAGTAAGGTTTTTAATAAGGTAGCATCTCAAGTGTATTATGAAGAATGATGTAATTAAGCATTGGGATTTGAACCCTTGACCTAGGGGCCAAAGGAAGGATACTACAAGTAGTTGGTAGAAACCAACTCATCTAACTATCATTTTTATAACAACTATACCACTTTATTTAGAATAGAAGTACAAAAATCTGGGCATGAGGCGGGCCATGGCCTGGGTAGGCCCGCCCCTGGATCCATCCTTAATGCATAGCTTCGTAACTCCCTTAGCATTTACTTCTCTTAGTAACCCCTAGTAACTCCCTTTTGCTTTATTGTTCTCTTTGTAACTCTTGCATTATTGTGACAGGGTAAAGTCGTATCCCTTAATCAAAAATAATTACCTAAGTCCTCTAACTAAAGTAGATAGGAAAGTAGGGTCGAACTCCACAGGGAAACAAGTCTTTTTACTCCTCTTAGTAACCCCTAGTAACTCCCTTTTGCTTTATTGTTCTCTTCGTAACTCTTGCATTATTGTGACAGGGTAAAGTCGTATCCCCTAATCAAAAATAATTAACTAAGTCATCTAACTAAAGTAGATAGAGAAGTAGGGTCGAACTCCACAGGGAAACAAGTCTTTTTACTCCTAATTATTTATTATAATCTAAATTATCTAAGTAACCAATATTTTTTGGGAATAAATTCTATACTACGAAGAATAAGTTTAGGGAGAAAAGAAACAATAATAAGGAAGCCTAGGGTCACAGGTTCACCAATAAATAATATTCCAGGGTAGAATATAATAATCATTCATCAATGCATACATTAATCAGATTATAAAGGGCTTTCGCTACGTATTACAATCACACAATTAATTTACCGGTATTAAATCTCATCTTTCGAATCTCGACTTAACCATTTATAAATTAACTTGCCTATTGAAACTAGACCTAAACATCAATTCTCATCTGTCGAATCTCGAATCAATATTGTTAAACTCATGCATAAAAGATCTGCGCAAATCTAGTCACAGAGCATTAAATCAATCAATAGGAAATTAATCTAGCATTGACAATTAACAACAATAAATTACCCCTTCATATTATTTATGGATCCCCATAAACCTTAGAAATAAAACTACTCAGACATAATTAAATCTAAACTAAATAAAGTAATTAAAGGAGATATGATTAAGAGCAAGAATTAAGAGAAAGAGAATAGTAGTATTAAAGTAACAAGGAAACAAAATAATAAAATTGATAGAGAGTAGAGATAGAAAGAAAAAAATAAAGAACTAAAAATCATAGAAAGCTTACATAACTCCCCCTAATACTCTATCCTTTTTATAAGGAAAAATAACCCAAAAGCTGCGTGAATCTCAAGGCCACTAAAGTCAGAAGCCGACTTAAGGAAAGCTGGAGTAAGGCCCAAGGAAATCGAGCCCATCAGCTTAAACGTGCCTCATCTAACCCAGCCAGTTGCTGCCCGATTGGGCCCATCCGTTTATCACGCCCAACAGGTTTCAACTTGGGCTTTTAGAGTTTATTAGCCCCTTTTTCTTCACTTGCTTGGTCCATAATAATAACTTGTATAATCTTGTAAAATCTTGGACCTCTTCATATATCGAGCCCTTAATCATCGAACTAAATTTCTTTAATTCGGTCTTGGGTTTTAAATATACGGTCATAAAATACACTCTGATTCTAATATCTTCGTAGTGGTTCAATTAGCTCGGAAATTATCATAATTCTGCAAATTCCTACAAAATAATATCAACTCTACAAAAACACTAGAAAACGTATATTAGTAATAAAAATAGCTCCGTAGATCTCAAATAAGCACAAATATGGCCATGGGACAGAGAATAAAAATATATATAAAATAGTCTTATCATATTGTGACTCTTCATTTCCTTTGAGAGTTACTTATTCTCATGTATAATAGCCATTGCCTTATGAAGAAGTATAACTAAGATTAACACCTACATTTCTCTCATGTATTATTCCTTTCTCATTATTTTATAACTATATATATATATATAATCCCCACCCTTGTCGCTCTCTAAACACCAAATATATATATATATATATATATATATATATAAATATAATATATATAATATATATATATATATTATATATATATATATATATATATATATATATAGGGGAAGACTCTCGTGAGAATTTTTCTTATGTGAGAACACTCTTTATGTTCTAAATTTTTACTCGTATGTTCTAAATTTTAAATCTGATGTTTTAAACTTTTCCTTAGGTGTTCTAAATTAAATCAAATGTTCTAATTTAGTACTCACATGTTCTAAACCATAAATTAGTTAAGTTTGATGTCATAAATTTTAAATGACTTGTTTTAAAATTTTAACTTATATGTTCTAAATTTTAAAACGTGTGTTTTAAGATTTTTAATTATATGTTCCAGATTTTAAACTGTATGTCCTATTTTTTTACACGTATGTTCTAAATTCTTTAATCACACTTTCTATATTCTATATCAATTTGTTCTAAATTTTAATCACATGTTCATAATCTTAAATCAGATGTTCTAAATTTTACTCATATGTTTAAAATTTCATAAAGCAAATTTTATAAATTTGTAATCACTTGTTCTAATTCTACAATCAGATGTTCTAAACATATTACTCACACAAATGTTCTAAATTATTACTCATATGTTCAAAATTTTTATTTGAGTCAAATGTTCTAAATTTTAACTCGCATGTTCTAAATTTTTACTCACATGTTCTAAATTTTAAATCAGTTCTCATATAAGTATGAATTCTCACCAGATCTCTCCCCTTATATATATATATATATATATATATATATATATATATATATATATATATATATATATATATGAATTTTCATTATTTAAAATATGTAGGAATTTATGTATCTAATCTTTGCCAAAATAGAAATTAACGTAGAGAGTTACGCACCCTATTACTAATCTAACAGCTTTAAAAAATTCCTATGAATTTGATTATAACATAATTTAATTTTCATAAAATTGAATTTCCTATGTTATTCAGACGACCACTTACATTGTGTTTTACAACTAAATATTAACGAGAGAGTAAGCAAAAAGTGTGGAAATGTATAATAAACTTACCTTTATCATGTTTGTTAAATAAGTGATTAAAATGGCATTACAAACTAGTTTTGTTTCGTTCTCTATTAGAAACTTTTGAGAGTAGAATAAAATTCATGGATGGTTCTCACTCAATAATTTTTAATTATATTATGTCTCCAAGGATATGAGTATCAATGGTTTAGTAACACAGTTTGCCGTCGGTTTTGTAGATATGAGAATCTTGCTCCCAAAAAAATAGACGATTTACCAATCCAACTTGACAAAATACTGATTGCACGAGAAGAGGGAAAGGTATCTGAAAAGGTAAGAAAAAGTACAATTCCGATATGGAAGGGAAGCATGGAGAGATCAAGAAATAAACTTAATACTCGTAGATTCAAAGACGAAAGAGTGAAGTAAGGAGAAAAGATATCAAGTAAAGCAAAGAAAGGTGAACCAAGAAGATTGTACGTTATCCAAAAATCGAAAGGAGACCAATAATTGAAAAGAGAGGACAAATACTAGCTCCGTTACATGTTATGTGCAACGATTTGACATAAAACAGAGAGGGAAAATGTCTAATCGTTGCACATAACCTGTAACGGAGGTAGTAAATGTAATAGTGAAGCATACAAAAAGGAACAAAGGAAGTAACATATGACAAATTGAAAACTCTATAAGACAAAGCTGCTCATGCTTTGTTCAGTCAGCATATAAGTATATTACAGGTTTGTATCTTTGAAGTTCAACAAATAATATCATAAAAAATTACTACCATCAAACAAGAACTAATAACCCTTGCCTATCACCATCCGAACCAGTGCTTGTTGCTGTAAGAATCTCCAGGTAATAAAATAATATACTGGGATTAGGCTTGTGTTATAGTTTCAAAATCAATCCGTGATGAATCCCCCAAAAACTCCACTAATATGAACAAGAATTCCCGCAAAAAGCGATTTCAATTATTCGGCCGAAGATTATTCAGCAGAATGCATTATACAGAGGAGCACAGTATCTTTCATTCTCAGCATCATGAAGATGGGGATCCATCATCTCAAGTCCGGATGTCTCTAGCAACAAACCGACCAATTCAGATCCACATAACTGTGTAGAACTTACCAAAGAGGCAGCAATGGACGTATTACTATTTATCTCATTAACACCTTCCAAATTTTCTTCATATATACTACTAGTGACCATACTGCAAGCCCAGCTGATATATAGAGCAGAGCAACACCAGAAGTTGCTAGAGCCCCTTGACTAGCAGCAAAACTGCAGAAATATGACAGTTAGAACATAAACTATATATATATCCTATACATAAAGTGAAAGGGTATTTTGGGTGATAAATTTCATTATCCCCAAATTACTTGTCAAGTTGTAAATTTACTTTTTTCTTACAATTAAAATTAAGAATTATTAATTTTTTTTTAAAAAAAGTATTATCATAACTACCCTATCTATGTCCCTATAATAATCGCTCCCTTTTCTCCACATAAATTTATATCTTCAACTGTTCTCTCACTCCCCATAAAAAATGAAACCACTCGTCCACTCTTGAGTCGATTATGTTTTTTCCATCTAATTTCTTATACTGTACACGCGTAGCGTGTATCTTTTAACTTGAATATATAAAATAGAAGCAACTCAAGCAAGAAAATACCTGCTGTCTCGAGTAGCCAAGATAAAAGTAAGTGCAGTCATCTGTGTTGCAGTCTTCCACTTTCCTAAATTATTTACAGCAACAGCCTAGGAAGAGTGACAATCATATGATCATATATATCAGTTCACTGTATAAAAATCCATGTATTCGACAGATGAGCAAAGTCAAAAGATTATCAAACCTGCAGAAGCTTAGCATCTTGAGAGGCAGCCCATTCCCTAACTGCAGACATGGTTATCTAGAAAGAGTACAAAAATTAAGAAAAATTAGGTAGTCAACAGATATAGAATATGAATAATGCTAGTAGCGAGATGCTTGCTTGTTAACTAGATGATTAAATTTGAAGAACATGCAAAAGTAATTAAATCACAAAGCATAACACATATACTAATCATCAGAGGAAAAAAAAAAAAAAATCATCATATTTAGTCTCTGCTCTATAAAAAAAATAGCTCATCCTCCATCCAAAATTTAGCTTCACACTATCCATTTGGCATATCCTACAGAAAAGTCCACATTCCTTTTCTCCCTCCATCCTAACAATCTTCTTTTCAACACAATCTCTTGATTTCTCTATCTTCCCTCTATCAATATTTATTCGACATTGAGCAATTATTCTTAATATCCGTGCCAACCCTGATGAAGGGGGTACTATAGGTTATCCATGAAGCAAAAGCAATTTTTGGAGTGTGTAATATATAAGGCACTGAAAATGCAACTGCCTACTTAATTATGAAGGAAAAAAACAATCAACAAAAACTCGAGAATGGGGTAAATCATAGAGCCAAGATAAAACATATAACTGTACATAAAGAGACTACCTATGTTTACTTTGTTGTTCATAGTTATGGTAGATACATATATTAAGAAAATTTTGAAAAAAACAAGAGGGTATATGAAAAAGGTGATTTGTAAGAAACAGATACATAAAAAGAGAGTAAGGTATAAATTTTATAGATGGAGGAAAAAGTAAATAAAGGGGGGTTGCAAAAAATGGAATAGAGTAGATGTGAGTAGAAGCATAGCCAAATAAAAGGATACAAGCATGTGATCAAAATTTCTTATTAAAGACAGGTTCAACCATACATCACAAAGGGTGTTTAATTGGTGACCAAGAAGTTGAACAACCATCCTTCCCTCTCACTTTCACTTTTTCAGCTTGCTATGACCATAATTATGACCACCAATTGAAGCATTATTCATCGGTCAACCAAAGTTACCCAATCTCTCCTAGAAAGTAAAATTAGTAATATTAAGACACAGATACGATTAAATACTAGCAATCATTTACAGGAGCCTCCACAAAACATAGAAACCATAATTGTTGGCATATATTTTCAAAGTGACAGAATAATCCAAATAGATGAGATTTTCTTCACTATGCGCATTATTCCCTTGGCTGTTAAATACAAATAGAGCACAGAGTGCCTTGTCCTGGCATGGAAATGGTGATATTGAATACAATTCAGCAAATTTCAATGCAGACAGGTTGTATAAACACAAATATTTGTCAAATGCAAGCAACTACACACCCCAATCTTCCCTTCCTTCTCCTTCTTCAGTCTTTTTTACCATCCTATTTGATTCCCACATGTATTCTTTCTCTTCACAGAATTTCAACAATATGATTTTAAGTAAAGTTGCTTCATGGATGTTTCCTACCAGTATTTGACTAGAAAAGAGCTGGATTCCTAAAATTGTAATTTGATGGCCAATTTTTTGATTGATTATATTTGATTGATGTTCAGTTCGCAAACTAGTGAACCTTCAAACTTTTTTTTGTCTTTCAGGATATACTTGAGCAATGACTTTTTTTCATTACAAATCATTAATTTCAGAAAAATATAGAACAATAGTAATGATACTTGTAACACTTATAAAACTTGGATCACAAAAGTCAAACTTTGCGAGGATAAAAAACTATACCCTGCCCAAGTAATTTTCTTTGAAGCAAGAAACCCAACTGAAACTGCAATGATCTCTGTGTCCTATAATAGACCTCACATAAGGACTGGGCACAAAGATTAAGAATAGCTGTTGAGTGTAGTGTAAAGGTTGAATGTGGATAAAGAGAGATAGTGTTAAGAATAAGAAAGAAATACAATTGATGGGATGGTGAGACAAGAGGAAATACTAAAATTCAAAATAATCAACTTCTTACAAAAGAAAATGTGAAGTATATTTTAGGACAACCCAAAATAGTAACAAAGTTTATAATGGAACTTAAGGAGTTTAATCAAGTAACTGCTTTGGATCAGAATCAAAGGATAGAAGAGTATGGAAATAATTTATTTTTTTTGTGCCAGTAAACAAAGTCACAAATCACAACAGAGCAGCCATTCTAATTTATAAAGGATACTACTGTCAACAAAGGTGTAAAATAAAGAAGCTAATAAAGAGTTCAATTGCTGTCAGCAAAGTACTTAGATCATATACTAGAACAATTGCACAAATTGTAAAGGCCTTTGTGTTTGGGGAATGCAATATATACACAGGGAATGTGCCTAAGCCTTTGACTCTAAATAACTTGCTCACCATAACCTCCCCCCCTCCCCCACCCTCTTTTTTTTTTTTCCTATCCATGAACTATGATTTCATAACCATTTAATTTACCATACTGTGTTCCATACAACACTAAATTGTAAGTTTATCATCAAATCATCAGCTAAGATTTTCAAGGAACTTCAGGTTAGACAGTTCAGAGTACATTAATTCAAATAAACTAATGCTTGGCTTTAAAAGCATGGTATGGGTTCCCAATATTCAACTCAGCCTTGTCAACAGAACACACAAGCATAAGGTAGAATCCTATGTTACTCGGACTCGGGTACCCATGTTTGACACTGGTACGAGTCCAAGCGTCCGACTCGGCTATTTTGTGAAAAAAATTCTATGATTTTGAACTAAAATGAAGTGTCCAAGTGCCATACCCATGTCCGAGTGTCCAGGGTCCGACACGGTACTTGAGGTAAAATGAAGAGTCCGAGTAACATAGGTAGAAACAACTACATCACATAAATTATTTGTAAAAATTGAGAATTTTGAAGCAAAGGGCATGCAAATAAACCTCTCTCCCAATAATTGCAATGGCTGGTACTGGAAATAGCCAAGGAATATCTCCAAATAAGGAAATTTCAGGTGGTTTGCTACATAATAAGACCAATGTTGCAGCGACCATAAGCTGCATCAACCAAGAAGATGAATCAATAAATTACTAAGAAAGTACTTCAACTATCAACAACATTACAAAGGTTTTTCCTATAGGCAGTACCTTATCAGCCACAGGATCCAGAAAAGCACCAAATGCCGTACCTAGACGCATCTGAAAGAAATCGCCCAAGTATAACAATAAGCGAGGGAAGTAAACAAATTCATCTCAGCATATAACTTTATTCTATAAATACCTTTCTGGCAAGGTAGCCATCAAGCCAATCTGTGATTGCTGCAGCAACAAATAAACTGGTCGTGGCAGCAGCTCCCCACCAACTATTCACGAAAAATGCTGGTAACAGAAGCCTAAATGTTAGCAATTATCGATGAGCAGAATTATCACCATAAAAAACTACCTTTGTATTACTGCTTTAGTATTCGAGTTGTGATAAAACAAACTGCACAGCATCAGTGCAAATACAACAATCTAGGAATAGCTCCGATACTAATGAGAAAAAAGCAAGAGCAACTCTTTATTCTACAAACAGAAGATGTAAATTAACTTCAACAGTCTAAACATTCTACAGCTGTTGACGAGCAACAAAATAAGCATCCAAAACCCAAGGAAGGACGGGGGAGTCCAAGATATGGGTACCTATCTGCCAATAAGATCAATTCAGATTTTTTTTGTAAGTAATTCCTAGTTCCTTACAAGTAAAAAAAGCATGGCACTTTCCTAAAGAGTAAAAAATTCCACCATGAAAAATCAACAAAATATCTTAGCAATAACAAGAGATAAATCACCCAACACAAGACAAAGGCTTAAGATTTACTCTAGCCCCCAAAAAAATCAGTATTTAGTTCAACTTTAACATAAACAACCTAAAATCCCAACAAAAATACACAACCTTTTTTGCATTTCTAGCTCACAAAACTAGCAAAATTCATAATGAAAACAAACCAATCAACAAACATAAATAAAAACACCCAAATTAAGCATCATAATCCAAAATCAACAATATCACAAAAACCCATCAAAGTTCTACATTACAAGATTATATTACAACAATTCAATGAAAACCAACAAAACCCAATTCAAATCAGATCAATCCCAATCCCCGAAACCCAACAAACAAATTAATTCCACAACAAATCAAAAACCCCATCAGATTCATAACCAAACAAAAACCAAAAATAAAAAATAAATCATCATACTTCCAATAAAAACAGGAATGGCAGCAACACGAGCAAGGGTTAGAACAGTAGGCAATGTAAGCAATTTGGTAGAAGAACAAGCATCCCCCTTTTCCTCCTGATCTTTCTCTGTAGACAAAACGACACCGTTTCGATTCAAATCATCATCGTTTCGCTTATCCTTGAAACCCATTTTAGACCCAAACGAACCAACCCCAAAATCAGAAACCCTAGTAAATCTATCACCCCCCTTTTCTTCTTCTTCACTACTCTTAGATTCTCTCTCCTCTGAAATTGGAGAAGAAGAGGAAGATGAAGAAGAAAGCATAAATACCCTTTTCCTATTAATGTTGTTAGGGATGTTGTATGTTATCATTTGCTTTATTTTTGTAGTGGTTGTAGTTAACCCCTTAACGTGCGCACACGCAACTCCATAACACGCGCCCCTCTTTTTTGCTAACGTGCTCCTCTTTGAGGAATAAACAATGGTGCTTGGGATTGATTGCTTCGCCATTGATGCCGTAGGAGAGAGCATTAATGGTGGGTTTGCAACGCCGGCGGTGGCTATTGTGCGCCGGAGAAGTAGTTGTAAAGGTGGCATTTTTAATTTTTTTTTTTTTTTTGGGAATTTAATAAATAAATAAATGGAAATAATAAAATTGGAAAAAGTTGTGAGATTTATGTAGAGATATTTTTATGGAAATTAGGTGGGTTTATAGGGAGAAATTTGATTAAGTTGGATTTGCTAAATTTGGAAAAGGCAAATTTTTTATGAGTTGAATTGAATGATTTTGTGATTTTGTTGAAATTTGAAGGATGATAATAGAGGTACGGAAATAACTTTGTTAACCCACTTGACTTGGTTGCTAGTTGATGTGGCATGTTAGTTTTAAATAGAGGATAAAAATTAGCAACTGTGAAAGTGTGATTTAATTAATTAATTACTGATATTAGCAAAAAAAAAATTTGGTACAAGTACATGCAACTTGCCTATGTTTTATTTGGGACTCAATTGGATTATTGTGCTCCCCTCAAATGAGGCTTTTCTTCTTACCAAAAAAAAACAGGATCATAGTGAGAAAAAAGAGTGTAATTCAAGTACTTAAAAGTGGACATAGTTCAAATTGATACAAAGTTGATCAAGCCTGATAAGAAAATAGTCCAATACAAAACAAGCTCATGCAAAGTCTAGTATGGCATAAAGCGTATGTCGGCAAGACATGGGTCGTGCATGGACATCATTTTTAATATTTAGCACAAACACATAAGATGTTTCGCATGTGAACCCTCTTATTAAAAATTAATGAGGGAATGTGCTGGTATAACTCAACGTGCATGACACATGACCCGAGTCTTGGCACTGTACAACTATTAATAGGCTCGTTCTAAGCACAACAACTATTACTAGGCCGATTCTAAGTACACCCCATTTGAGCTCAAACTATGCTAGCATGGCACGTGGGCCTATATGTACCCACCTTTATTAGTCCTACCTATTGTATAATTTGTACAAGTTATAAGAAACATTGTATTACTATTAGCACAATTCTTGAAGCTAAGATTGAATTGCATTGATTGAAGCATATTTTGCATGATTAGTTGATTACTGATTGCATTTTGAGTGTAGATGACATGGCATATTGAAAGGAGAGTACTGGGGATGGTTTGCCCTCAATAATCCTAAATTTCTTCAAGTAAATAGGCAAAACGGAGTTTATCAAGCTGGTTGTCATGAATGTCATCTACCCAAAGTTTCAAAATGATACCAAAAAATTTAGTTTGGATATTACTTATCTGATACTTCGTATATTTCTGGTAAAGATATTGCAATCACTGGGAAACACTTCATACAGTTTACCAAGAAATGCTATTGTATTATATTAGTAAAAGCTATAATACATCACAGTTTGAAAAGTAAAAGTGCTAAAGCTTTCACTGAGAATATACAGGAAGCATCAGAAAATATAAGGGCATTCCTCGTGCTAACAAGCATGGCTTATTAAGCTGACAACTACCCCAGTTATTTGAGTTTAGAGGACTAATCCATTTCACATGTAATCTATCGATACCATTATCACCTTCTATAAATAAAATAACAAGCTTTAATAAAAAGCTTTCCGTAGCTTAGCTTCGTCCTCTCGTCAAAGCTTGGTCTGCAAGTATCATATAAACTTGTTCGAAAATTATGTGCTACAAAGTATAAAACATAATGTATGAAAAATACATGCATAAAAATATATACGAGTTGATAAAAGTGTAATCATTACCAAGAAACGTTTCTTGTAACTTTCAACAAGCAACTTTGGATCAGTTTGTGTTTGCTTATAGCCCTCTATTTTATCCATCTCCTGCGACATTATCACACAGAATTGTTCAGCTTGAACAGCTTGCAAGACACTTTTATTTGGAATAAAAATTTACTTTATTACGTTATTCAACCCTTTGCAAAATATAAGCAGAGTTTTTCTTGAAATATCCACAATGTTTGAATCATCACTAAGCACCAAAATCGTTCCAAGCTACTGGTCCACATGTTTTGAATAATACAAGAAATGAACTGAAATTTGGTCTGTTTCATGAGCACATAGCCACATTAACCACTGGTATTGTTAGGTTGTAGTGAAGGGTTGCTTAAGAACTCACAGAAAGCAGCACAAATAGGCTTGATGTGTCTTGAATCTGGGAATTTTTCTGTTCTTAAACGTCATAAGATGACGTAATAGACTAACCTAAGGAGGGGCAATAATGGTAGTCTAGTCTAGTACTACTAGGTTAGTCTTAAGCTTTAGTATAAATAGAGAAAAAGGGGGGGGGGGGGGGGGAAGCAGTGGGCAGAAAATTGTATTAGGGAAACCTAGAGAGAGTAATGGCGTCAAGCCATTATTAGAGAGTGATAGCCTACAGCTATTAACCCTATAATTTTGTAACCCCTCCACCATTATCAATCAACATTAAAGCTTCCATCTTTATTAATTCACTAATTAAAAATCAGAAATTACAAGTCCGACAACCAGCCTAGTACAGCTTGCATTGCTGTTATATTGGTTTTGTTGTGTTACTGATTTGATTCTATCACAGATGACTGGAACCTAAAGTAACAGATGCAAAAATGCAACAGTAATGTAGATGTATTATTTAGCTAAATAATTACCTACCACACACTTTATGCCTTGATTTAATAGATTAATGTAACAGTTTAACAGGTACAGGAGTTTCTAGAAACACATAAAGGCTAATTTATACTTCGTAATAACAATTGATGGAGTACACACGAAGTATAAAAGAGGTTAGAATAAGTCTCTTATCGGCCAAATAGTGAAGAAAATAGCTTAGATAGCCTTCCCAACAGAAAAATAAATTCATCCAAAATATTTCGAACAGAAAATGGAGGTCCTGCACAAATAGTCTAATCACCTTACTACCCAGATTTTTTTATACAATCAGTTTGCGTCCCTTCACAAATCAGGTTACTCTTTTTTTTTTTTTTTGGTTGATGCCGGGGGGGCGGGGGGGGGGGGGTGTTGCTACCTGCCTGCCTCTTTTGTTAAAAACAAATAAAAACTGTGAATTCAAAGGTATGGTTGAAATGGATTCATGAGTATTATGTGAAGGACAGGGACCTTGTTAGTTGTTACTATGATTGTGCCTAGACAGGCTTCATTAATGGTAAGGAAAATTCAGAGTGCAGCTCATTCATCTCTTACAGAAACAAGGCCTACAACTGTTCTCAATATGCATATCCTAAAAAGAGATGAATATATCATGATTAGTTCCTTGGGAGTAAAATGATTTGCAACAATCTAGTCTGTGTGACAAGGAAGATGAAAGAACTGCTCAGGGGTGAATTGGAGTTATATCCTCAACTGACTTAGTATTTAAAGAAACCCTGGTGACTGGCATTGTAAGATTTAGGTGACCATAGTGTGCACAGAATAACAGTATCCGACCATACTTATATGGAAAGAAAGGAATGCTGCGAAGCTCCAGGAAATGCAGCAAGATACTACTCTAACTAAGTAACTAGTAACTACTGTGAATGTGAGATAAATATAATGATTGTTTGCACAGATACAAGTGAAGAAGTTAGCAAGGTTAGTGCCTCAGAGTTCAGTTGGTGGTGAGCCTCTTGCCAAGTTGCCAGTTTAACCTCTGGCTGCTTGTAGACCAGGCAAACAATACCCGACCCAATGCGACCCATACCCAAAAAAGACACTACCCGTACCCGAAACTAGATGACCCGAACTAGACTCAACCCAAATCCGGACCAAAATTCACTTTACCCGAATATGACCTGCACCCAAATGGACCCAACCCATACCTAGCTTGAAACTTACCTCACCCAAATCTGGCATGACTCTAAAAGCTATTTCAAACTTCTTGTCCAGGACTATAATGTAAAGGATGACCAATGAAATACCACCATAGAATGATAGGAAAACATTGTAACAGAAAATTATTAACCTCTAACCTCGAAATGACAGAGTAACATTTTATCCCCATCAGAATTTTCACAAGTCAAACTAGGCAATTAAATTTAAATAAATGGAGTATAAGAAGCTTTTCTTTTGCGTTCTCTTTTTTCTAAACTTAATTATACTACTGTCTTTGATCAATAATTTAATATACCTGAATCCACATAGCAATCTTAGGTCTCGCGGCTGTAATATCATAGCTCCTCACATCTTTCAAAAAGGGGATGTATCTTTCAAAGAATGGGACATAAGCAATATCAACCTGTGGTGGAAGTCATTAAAAGAGTCAATACAAATGAAGAATTCTGACCCTGTAAACTATCCAAAGGTACAAAATTTATATCTGGTTACAGTTCATTCCGTAGTAAATAGCAAGACTGCAAGAGTATGCTTCTTCAGATGTTAATTTAGCAACCCTCATATTTGCTATAAGTGATTGAGTGTGAGGAAGAGCATTCATCAAGTATTTGCGTCAAATTATAAGTGTAAACTTGAAGCATAAATCCATACCAGACTGAACTGACCCAGAAAAAAGGGGCCATCATTGAACTTGGAAAGCGCATCTTCAATGTAGTCAAAGGCAGTACCTGATGTCAAATTGTCAATGACAAGGGAAATTATGAAAGCCATAAACAATGATTTAAAAACACGTGGTTCAGATTTCAATATACCAGTTTCTGCATTCACTCCATCCTCCTTGAAAGAAGAAGTCACAGCTTTATGGAATGAGTCAATATAAGAAAATAGTACGCCAGCAAAGTCCTGCTTCACAGGATCCTGCAAGATAAAATTTATTCTAATAGAGAGAAACATAAACCTAATTGCAAATAAACGCAAGGATTTATCTTCCAAAGCTTACACTGGGGAATAAGGAAGGCCCTTCAAAGTGACTGTCAATAAACTTCATCAAATCAAGGCTCTCACCTCTAACTTCATTTTTGTACTCTAATGATGGAACCTGACATTATTTTAAATGGCAACCATGGTAGTAAGAAGAAATAGCTTCATCAAGAAACCATTTAAAATTTTTAATACTACATTTTTGTTATAATCAAAACTTGTCCCATTGGATATATTTTAAACAAGAGAAACTGACAAATTCACTATTATAACTTGGACAACAGTCAGAAGGAAGAATTGGGTTTGCTTTTGATTATGACATGAAATTTGCCGGCTTTTGATAAAGCATTTTGATAAATGTTGGAAGAATCATACGTATAACAGAGCAACTACTTCAACATTCAGTCACAGTGCCCATAACCATGATTTATGATCAAAGATCCTAGACTCCAAGTATCTTTGTTCCCTTGATGATTTCAAAACAAACTTGTCATTCATATCTAAACAATTTTTATAATCCACTATAGAGGCCAATTTGTACTGATATGGAACAATATATTTGAAGGAAGAATTTATACAAAAGTAGGATAACACTCTTGACATTGTCATGTCGGTGATGTCACATATTAGAGTGGTGCTCGAAAAAATAGGACAATAATTTCTTTATATGAAGTACTTCATAGATGTAACAAATACAAGCCAAGGGAATTTCTTTCCCAAAATATGATCATAAAGACTACTTTAAAAAAGATGAGCTATCAATCTCAAACATACTACCGCTTGTGCCTTGTGAAGCAGAAACCCAGGATATTAACCACTAGAAATGAATTAAATCATTCTCTCTTTATTAGTTTCTATCCATGATTCCATGAAGTGATCAACCTTTAATGACTCAATTGGACAATTGAGCTTTAACTTTGGATTTTATCTTAGTAGCTCTAGTAGCACAGAGCCACTGTCTAGGTATTTCGAGGTCATCACCTGTCACTGTAGGTATATGCCAACTACCACTTTCAGATTCTTGAGTTACAATTGAATATGGTGGAGGCATGTGGAGGACAAGACCACTTGTTGAGGCTGTCATCCTAATCTGATGCTTTTCCTTCCATCGAGGGAAAATGCTACAAGTATTTCCTAGCAGCTGAAACAAGTGGTCCCTCATCTCATCATTTGTAAGCAACAAACACTTGCATCTAACAGCAGCGTATAACCAATACCAGTCATCATTTGAACCTAGTGGGGTGGCATAAAGGGCACCAGCCTTCCTCCAGCTCCCCAACATTCTCTTTATATTAGTAGTTTCAGCTGGGCCAGTATAAATACGATTCTGATGAAGAATGACAAGAGGCAATTTCTTTGTAGGGCTAATTTGTTGTAGCCTATTTACAACATTAGCAAGCTGCCTAAAGTCAAAAGATTCTGAGTCGCAAAGGCCAACATTAGCACCATCCACAACTGCATCAAAAGGTCCATTACTCTGAAGCCACTGCTGGAACTTCAAAAAGTCAGCCAGTTTTTCTTTTTTGCATGCCAAAGAACTCAATGAACAAGCAAAATTCTCAGTCTCTTTAGGGTCAATGTCAATGCACACAAGTTTCTCACCACAGGAACTACACACACCCTTCTTATCCATCTCGGTCTTTACTACACCCCATTTACCGCTACCAAGCCACCCTTGCCCGTGCCACCCACCTCCACCCATCATTATACCTTCCTTCACCTTGCCCACGTCCCAATTCTCCACCCCGACACCACTAGCTGTCTCAGATTTAAACCAACATTCCACTATCTTAGCAGTCTCTTCAGAAACCTGTCTCACACTAGTTCGCAATCGATGCAACATCTCATAAACCTTATCTCCCCTCCTGGCATCCACACTCAACTTCAAAAGAGCAGCAAGCTCAGGCTCCTCAGCCACTACCCCACACTCTATCATGTGTGCATCCACCTTGTACCCCCCATCGGCATCCCCCTTATCTAAAAACCCAAACAATGCTGGCGCGTACGATCTAAGCTTCGGAACATTACCACTATCCTTCATCCGCTTAACTAAATCAAAAGCCATTTCCGGGTCTTTCTTACAAGCTGCTATTCTAGCCATACTAGTAAATGTAGCCTCATTCGGAACAACTCTATCAATACCCATTTGTCTAAATATCTCAAATCCCCTTTCTAAACTATCAATACCACAATCACTAATACCATTCAAAGCATGATTAGAACACAAATAAAAAAGTACATTGTAATGATGAAGAGATAGTTCTGTACCATCAACTCTAGCAGCATCGTAAAGGCGCAGAGCTTCATCAAGCTTATTAAACTTTGAACACATATCAAGTTTACACTTCAGTATGTATTCAGGCGTCACACTTCGGGCTTTTTTCCTTTGTTTCAATGACATCCTTTTACCCGGAACATCCGAAGAAGAAACAGGTTTGGTTGAAGAAGCCGCAGCAGCAGAAACTGCAAAGGTGGAAGAAAAGGGATAACTGAAAAGGGTTTTTTTGCTAATGAAAGAAAGAGAAGAAGAAGCTGGAATATGGATATAACCGCCATTGTTGCAGGTTCCATGAAGGACAGAGAAAATTGGGCGGCATTGAGCAAAGCTGAATCGAGGCAAGCTCATCAAAACAGGTATCCTGGGCATGATAACGAGGCGAATATGCATCAAATCAGCTTCAAACTGAGGATAAATTTACTGGATTTTTAATGGTTCAATCAAATGAGCATTAATTTTTCTGGGGTTTTAAGGATTTAATCAAATGAGGATGAACCCTAATTTTCAAAATTGCGAAGTTGCCGGAATTAATGGGGTAAAAACATCCCTTTGAAAATTGGAGGTGAGAAAAGCTGAAATTGGTGGTGGGGAGGAGTTCCGGCGAGTGATAAGGCGGCGGATGGCGGTGGTCCGACGCCCTTAGTGCGGCGAGGTTGTCGGGTTGCAGCACTGAGAAAGCTAAGGGAAAGGGATAAGGAGTAGGGATTTGGGGGGATTGGTTTAGCAAGAGGATTCAAATTTTTTCACTCTCCACTTGGCACTTGCTGGTTTTTTTGGCTTGTAGGGGGGCATTTTAGCCATTTCCTTATCATCATGGGTAAAATTGTAATGTAACTCCGTAATAGTCCGTAATATCGGTCCAATCCAAGACGTTTTCAAAGGATATTGGACCAGGGCTAAACCGAAGACCGGAAATTCTATTTTCACGACCTGAAGACCTACCGATTAATTCACAAGAGTTTTCTCATACTTTTAAGTTTTAACGCATTGTGCGCGTTAGCCACCCTAGTAACTCAAAATGGAGGAAGTAATTAAAAAAACATACTCCAAAGTACATATGTAGTTTTGTTTATTACTTCCTCCGTCCCCGAAAGAACGACCCATTTGGGTTGATTTCGCGGGTATTAAGAAACTTAATTTGCAAGTACAAATGTACGGGAAAACACAAATCAATAATAATTTGCAAGTACAAATTATGGGAAAACACAAGAAAAATGATTTCCCTCAATATGGATCAAAAATTAATTCCCATTATACATTAGTTTAAAAATAAACTAGTGTATGGCTCGGACGATGCCCCGAGTTGCTAGTTTGTAGTTAACGTTTGATTATTTTTTGTTTAATGTATAGATAATTATCTTCAAAATGTAATATTTTGAATAAAGATTTGTATTAAGAGAACCATATTCAATATATGTAACAAAATTTAATATAAGTTGTTAAATTATCCTATGATATGTAACAAATAGTACAATTAAGGACTAATCATCTTATCCAAGTTAACTACTTTGTACAATTTTGTTGGATAAATTCACACAATATATGGTTAGCTAAGGTGGTAAGACTTGTATCGCAGTACTTATTGGTCTCAAGTTAATGTCATGTTGTAAGCATTTTTTAAATGTCAAATCTAATTCTTTGTTGTGGAGGTGACATGGCATATTTATAGTGTTAAAATACATGACACGTGGCATATATTAATGACTTGACACATTTATAGAGCTTAAAAGAATGACACGTGTCACATATTCTGTTTTAGGAACGCTTTTTAGTATAGATATAGATTCCCAATGTATCGTCCAAGTAAAGCGGTATTATGAAAAGGACACCTACACCCAAGTAAAGCGGGTTTGTCGGTTGGTATTTGTTTTTTCTCAAAAGAAAATAAACCTGTTATTTCAAAATGTGGACTCTTTGTAAAACCGCTAATACGAATAGAGGTTCTAAAACCAAAACCGCTGTTGTTATTAGTGGTTTATGGTGAACCAAAATAAAACCCCATACCAATCCTACGTGAACGGTGTTTGGGGAATTTATTTTCAAAACGGTGTAAAAAGGGAATTTGTTTTCTTTTTTACATTATTGTGGGAAATCAAAAACAAATGGTGGCAGGAGAGAGAAAAAAAGTTTAGATATTTAGAGAGGAGATGGCACAAAGATCTGAAAAAATACAAGGGTAAAATAGGAAGAATGAGCTACATGACAAAAATATTTGAGGATATATAAGTGATATGTCCATTTTATATAGTAATTTACCACCGTCCCTTGGTCATAATTAGTAGTGTTTTTGGCTCTTTCGAGCCAATTTTATTACTAATTTGTGTTTTCTAGTTTTTCGTAGTTTTAGTTGTATTTTACAGAAAATTGCACTTTTGGAGCATTTTCCCGGGTTTTATGGATCAACTACGAAAGCTAGAAGGACACGGCCACTTTTGAAGCCCAGGATCAGTGAGAGCCGATGATTAAGGGCTTGGTATGAGATACCGAGGTTATTGAATCGTTTAATCAAGACCCGATGAGGAAACTTAGATTAGGCCGAGGAATTGAGCCCAATCGAAATCCGAGCCTCGAAGAAGAAGACCGGGCCCGATCGGGCAAGCTTGTGCCCGTCGGGCGAGCGCGCATAAGAGAGCGCCAGCAAGAAGGCGCGCCCGATCGGGTGAGCGTTAGCTCGATCGGGCGCGGCTGCCCAGATGGATCGTGAAGAAAAAGGCGGGCCCGATCGGGCGGCCCTTCGCCCGATCGAGCGCGTGTTTTTCTCAGAGATAGATTAGTTTTAATTTTTGTTTTAGGGAATGTTTAAGTAGGAGATTTGTACGCAATTTTAGGGATCACCTTCTTACTTAGATTTTCTCTCTCTACTTAGGATTTTTCTCTCTCTTAGCCTTTCTCTCAACTCTTGTTCTTAATTACTTTATTAATTCCAGATTCGTTTGGTAACTATTTCTCTTCTCTTAATCTTAGTTATTTATTCTATTCCTTTAATTATGTCTTACTTTATTGCTTTGATTAGTTTAGTTTCTATTATGTGTGAGTAGTTTAATTCTAGGGTTTATGGGGATCCATAAATAATAAGAAGGGGTAATTTATTGTTGTTGATTATCAATGCTAGATTAATTTCCTATTGATTGATTTAATGCTTTGTGACTAGATTAGGCCTGATCTTTTATGCATGAGTTTGACAATATTGATTCGAGATTCGACAGATGGGAATTGATGTTTAGGTCTAGTTTCAATAGGCAGATTAATTTATAAATGGTTAAGTTGAGATCCGAGAGATGAGATTTAATACCGGTAGATTAATTCTGTGATTGTAATACGTAGCGAAAGCCCTTTACGATCTGGTTAGTTGATGCATTGATAATTGACTATTATTGATTTTTGATATTGCATGATAATTTCTTATTGAATTGTTTTAACGCTTTACAATTATGGCTTGTAAAAGTATAGCAATATTGAATTGATGAATCGAGCAGATGTTAATTTGATATTAAAGGCTATTTTCAATAGGAACTTAGTTCTAGTAAATTGCGAGAGTCTGTTAGATCTATGTTGATTAATAAATTGCGAGAGCCTGTTAATCATGTTATTTATGCAATGTCAATGATTGATTATTATGTTTTACCCTGAAGTATTATTTATTGGTGAACCTATCCCCTAGATTCTTTTTATATTATTTTCTCCTTAATCCTAATCTCCGTAGTTTAGTTTATTATTCAAATATAAATATTGGTTACTTCATAATCTAGATTATATTAGTTAATTAGGAATAGAAAGATTTGTTTCCCTGTGGAGTTCGACCCTACTTCCCTATCTACTTTAGTAAGAGGACTTAGGTAATTTTTTTTTATTAGGGGATACGACTTTACCCTGTCAATAAGTAATTTTGAGATTTTAATAGATGATGGAAAAAACAAATGGGTCATTCTTTTTGGGACTAAAATTAGGCCAAATGAATCATTCTTTAGAGAACGGATGGAGTATTAATGAATTGATTTTACAATTATAAATTCTTAATAAAATGGAGAAGTATTAGTTATATTAACAAGCGTCTTCAAAAACTACGGAGTAATAATTACAAGTACTCCATATATTGTTAGGTGTTAAATATGGAATAGAAAATAAAGAGAGATGAGGGAAGATTGTTACGTTGTATTTCATATTCCATCTAGTACAGGATATATATAATGTACATTTCCTAGGGTTCCATCAATGGATAAGACCAAATACCCAACTCTAGAATATTCTAGATTGTACATGGGATAATAGTCATCCATATTTAGGTATTATCATAACACTCCCCCTTGGATGACTATATATTGAATAAAACAATAACTAACATTTACTACAAAACCTGTACAAAATAATACACTATAATGCGCATAAGATGATGCTTCGTTAAAAACCTTACCAGGAAAACCCAGTGGGAAAAAACCATGGTTAAGGAAAAAAGAGTGCAGCGCGCATTAACTCCCCCTCATGACTACATCACTTGAGATCTTTAAGACGACGCAATCCAATGCCGTAAGCTAACTTTTTGAATGTTGCTGTCGGAAGAGCCTTAGTAAATAAGTCTGCTAAATTCTCACTTGAACGAATCTGCAATACATTTATATCTCCATTCTTCTGAAGATCATGAGTGAAGAAAAATTTGGGTAAGATGTGCTTTGTTCTGTCGCCTTTGATGTATCCTTCCTTAAGTTGAGCAATACAAGCAGCGTTATCCTCATATAAAGTTGTTGGTGCCTCTTTCCCAGATGATAAACCACAAACTTCTTTTATATGTTGAACTACCGACCTTAACCATACACATTCACGACTAGCCTCGTGAATTGCTAAAATCTCAGAATGATTGGAAGAAGTAGCTGCAATGGTTTGTTTCATGGAACGCCAAGAAATGGCAGTACCACCATATGTGAACACATATCCAGTTTGTGACCGACCATTATGAGGATCAAATAAACAACCTGCATCTGCAAAGCCAATCAAATTTTCTTTGGACAACTTTGGGAAAAATAAACCCATATCCTTCGTACCTTGAAGGTAACGAAGTAAATGTTTAATCCCATTCCAATGCCTTCGGGTTGGACATGAACTAAACCTTGCTAATAAATTAACTGGAAATGATATATCAAGTCGTGTATGACTTGCAAGGTACATTAGTGCTCCAATTGCACTAAGATACGGTACTTCAGGACCAAGAATTTCTTCATCATTTTCCCGAGGTCGGAATGGATCTTTCTCTACTTCAAGTGATCTTACAACCATAGGGCTGCTCAATGGATGTGCTGTATCCAAAGAAAATCTTTTAAGAACCTTTTCTATGTATGTTGATTGATGCACAAGGATTCCATTCTCTAGGTGCTCTATTTGTAACCCCAAGCAGAATTTTGTCTTTCCTAGATCTTTCATTTCGAACTCTTTCTTTAAATAATTGACAGTCATTGAAATCTCTTCAGGAGTTCCAATGATATTCAAATCATCAACATACACAGCAATTATAACAAATCCTGATCCAAATTTCTTTATAAAAATACATGGGCTGATAGGATCATTCTTATAACCTTCTTTCAACAAATACTCACTTAGACGGTTATACCACATACGCCCAGATTGTTTCAATCCATAAAGAGATTTGTTCAATTTAATACAGAAATGTTCTCGAGAACTAGATTTTGCTGCTTCCGGCAGCTTGAATCCTTCTTGGAGCTTCATGTAAATGTCATTATCCAGTGGGCCATATAAATAAGCTGTGACTACATCCATCAAACGTAAGTCAAGTCCTTCTCTTATTGCCAGACTAATCAAAAATCTAAAAGTAGTTGCATCCACCACAGGAGAATATGTCTCCTCATAATCAATACCAGGTCTTTGTGAGAATCCTTGTGCAACTAAGCGTGCCTTATATCTTACAACTTCACCCTTTTCATTTCTCTTTCGCACAAAGACCCATTCATATCCCACTGGCTTTACACCTTCAGGTGTACGGACTACTGGTCTGAATACTTCTCTTTTTCCAAGAGATTTTAATTCTGCTTCAATTGCTTCTTTCCATTTTGGCCAATCATTTCTTTGTTTACATTCTTCAATAGATTTTGGTTCATGATCCTCATTATTATCCATAACATCTAATGCTACATTGCATGCAAAAACATCATCGACGTCGATTTGATTTCGGTTCCATGTAATTCCAGACATGATATAATTTATTGAAATTTCTTCATTATCAGGTACCTGAATTTCTTCTTGTATCATGTCTAAAGTCTCTTCTGGAGATCCTTCGGAAATTATTTCTTCAATTTGACCATCATCAATCAATGCTCCTTTTCTTTTCCGAGAATTCTTATCTTTGGAACCTATTGGTCTTCCACGTTTTTGGCGTGGTTTAGACTCATTAGCAATTTTATTTTGTCCTTCCGGGACATCTATTTTAAATGGAGCATTAACAGCTGGAATATGCGACTTGGTCACTCTTTTTGGGTCAGCAAACGAGTCTGGCAATTGATTCGCTAAACTTTGTAAATGAATTATCTTTTGAACTTACAGTTCACATTGTTTAGTTCGAGGATCAAGATAGGATAATGATAATTCATTCCATTTAATTTCATTTTCCAGCTCTCTCTTTTCTCCCCCTAATGTTGGGAAAAGTGACTCGTTAAAATGACAATCTGCAAAACGAGCCGTAAATAAATCCCCTGTTGTAGGTTCAAGATATTTAATTATTGACGGAGATTCAAACCCAACATATATCCCCATCCTCCTTTGAGGACCCATCTTAGTGCGTTGTGGTGGAGCTATTGGAACATAAATCGCACATCCAAAAATTCTTAGATGGGAAATATTTGGTTCATGACCATAAACCAATTGTAATGGGGAGAACTTGTGATAACTTGTTGGCCTAATGCGAATTAGTGCTGTTGCATGTAATATAGCATGTCCCCAAGCAGAAATTGGGAGATTGGATTTCATAAGCAATGGTCTAGCAATTAACTGAATACGTTTTATTAATGACTCTGCTAGACCGTTTTGTGTATGAACATGTGCTACAGGATGTTCAACATTTATCCCAATGGACATGCAATAATCATTAAAAGCTTGAGATGTAAATTCACCAGCATTGTCAAGCCGAATAGTCTTAATGGGAGTATCTGGAAAATGTGCCCGTAACTTAATCAATTGGGCAAGTAGTCTTGCAAACGTCAGGTTACGAGTTGATAACAAAGACACATGTGACCATCTAGTTGATGCATCAATTAAAACCATAAAATATCTAAATGGTCCACATGGGGGATGTATGGGCCCACAAATATCTCCTTGTATACGTTCCAGAAAACTAATTGATTCTAAATTAATTTTAGCTGGTGATGGGCGAATAATCAACTTGCCTTCCGAGCAAGCAGCACATGAAAAATTATTATGAAGAATCTGCTGGCTCTTCAAAGAATGTCCACATGAATTCGTAATTATTTTTCGCATCATTATTGAACCGGGATGGCCTAACCGGTCATGCCAAACAACAAAATCATTAGTAAACTTCTGGTTTACTATAGCATGAGCTTCAATAACATTGATTTTTGTGTAGTACAAACCACTAGAGAATGTAGGTAGTTTCTCCAAAACATGTTTTGAGCCTTGAGTTATATTTGTGATTTGAAGGAATTCGTTATTTTCTTTATTGATTGTCTCAATATGATAACCATTATTGCAAATATCCTTAAAACTTAATAAATTTCTTTGAGACAATGGGGAGTATAAAGCATCAATTATTTTAATTTCAGTTCCCCAAGGCAACTTTATAGTGGCTCTTCCGGAGCCCTCAATGATATTTGTACTACCCGATATGGTACTTACATTAATCCTTTTCATCATAAAATGAGAGAAATATTTTTTATTTTTAAGTATTGTATGTGTAGTTGCACTGTCAGCAAGACATAATTCTTCACCATTCATAGCAAATTGAACTTGAGTAATATCCATGTTATGATAATAATAATATGGATTCTAGATAAATGTTTGGTAATCCTACTCATTTGACTAGCAATGGTGCTGATAACGTGTTAAATATGGAATAGAAAATAAAGAGAGATGAGGGAAGATTGTTACGTTGTATTTCATATTCCATCTAGTACGGGATATATATAATGTACATATCCTAGGGTTCCATCAATGGATAAGACCAAATACCCAACTCTAGAATATTCTAGATTCTACATGGGATAATAGTCATCCATATTTAGATATTATCATAACATTATGTAATACTTCATAATAAATTAAACTTTACTAAAATATGTGCATGGCACAACCCCTAGACTAATTTTGCAAATTTAGGAGACTAGCATTACGATGCACCTAGAGCTGTCAGTTTTTGACCCGAACCGTTAAACCCGATTGTTTCGAACCGATCCGAAAAGGAGTTGAACTGTTTAAAACCCGTATTTTGGAAACCGAAAACTGACCCGACCTAATTTTTTCCAACCCGAAACTAAACTGAACCGAGTTTGTGCGAACCGTTACTAACCCGACTCGTTATCAAGCCAAACCGTTACAACCCAAAACTGAAAGCAACCCAAACCGATTACGTTTAAACCCGATAGTAACCCGACCCGTTTTAAATCGAAAACCGTTAAAACCCGATAAACCTAAATCGTTCCAACCCGTAACCCGTTGTGACCGAACTAGTTATAAACTTATAATTCGTAACCCGTTGTGACCGAACCGTTTACGACCCGTAACCCGTTGTGACCAAACCGTTTAAAACTCGTAACCCGTTATGACTGAGTCATTTACAACCTATTAGGCTGTTACCCAATATGTTATGATCTAATCTGTTTCAACCCACTACTCAATAAACCCAACTTATTTATGACTTGGCTTGATTATAACATGACTCGTTCCTACCCGTTGTATGACTAATTCGACTCGATAATCATCCGACTCAATTTTAACCCGATATAATTTGATTAGAAACCCGCTTCAAATTGGGTAAACTCGTTTTCAAACCAACCAAGTTCAATCTAAACCGATTATAACCTGAAACAATAATGATTAGACCCGATTTCACCCTATCTATTTTGAACCGAAACCCATTTTCGAACTGACCCAGTTAAACCCAAACTGATTATGACCCGAACTAATTACGACCCGTCCTGATTAAGACCCGAATTGTTTTTAACCGAAACCCACATTAAATGGGCTAAACCCGTTTTCAAACCGACCAAGTTCAACCCAAATTGATTATGACCCGAACTGACTAGAACCCGACCCGATAAGGACCCGATCCGAATAGAAACTGCAATTAAAGAATCCAAACCGAACTGACCCGATAATTTTCAAAACCGACCCGCTTATATTTTCAACCCGTTATAAACCGACCCGTTATAACTCGAAACTGATAAACCCAACCCAAACCCGAACTGTTTAACTGAATTGACACCCCTAGATGCACGTAATGGTGATTGATAGTCCAATTGACAAAAGACTAGCCTTCCAAAGCAAATAGACTTGAAAAGGATTACCTTATTTGATGGGTAGACTTTTTCTTTGTACCACGAAGGCCTGTTTTTGAGATCAATGGCCACCAATTCTATTTTATCTTGTAGTCCCTTCTCCCAAAAAACAAACAAAAACAAGAAATTAAATTTTTTTTTTTAAAAAAAAATGCCAAACAAAAGAAAATGTTTTTTTTTTTTGAGGAAATAAGAAAATGTTTCTTTCTAAATAGAATTTTACTCCGTATTGGTTAAAATTAGAAAAATTACCTTACAATTACGGGTAATCCAAACCCGTTGAGCATATGGGCAAGTGTATGAAATATACAACCTTCAAACAAAATAAAAATCAAAACTCACCACAATTAAATCAATAATCCAAAAAAAAATATGGAAAATTAGGAGTAGAACCTTGTTGTGCCATCAAACAATAGAGGTGGGTCTGAAGTAGAATCAAGAGGTGGAGGCAAGATTTCTTCCATTTTCCTAATTACAATTTTAGAGACAAAAAATCAATTAACCCAATAATATAAAACCAATATTAATCAATTAATATGCTAAATTACCTGGTGGAAGCGATTATTGAAGCAGTGATGACATTTTTTCTTTGGATTTTCAAGTGAAGAGCGTGAAAATGATGGTGTTTTTGTTGTTGAATATGAAAATTTGAGTGTGTTATTGATTTAGTGGGGTTTAATGGAAGGAAAGAGATGATTGGAAAATGTGAGGTTGATGCATAAACATTACTCATTATTGCTGGAGTTGTAGAACCCATTTTCAGTTCGTTGTTGCTATAGTTCTGCACTTTGAAATTAAAGCACTTTAGTTTTAGCCGGAGTGTGTACACGATAAACTTGAATCAATTAAGCACACATGTTTTTTAGGGGACTGAGTGAGAGATAGCTCAAGTACTTGGAGTTTTTCTCGTTTCAGTAAGTTTTGGGATCAACTCTCGCTCCACCCTTGTGGGAGTTGTGGCTTTCTAAAAAAAAATTGTTTTATGGGGGGGGTTAATGTACTTCCGACTGTTTTTTTTTTCTTTTTTTTCATGTTAGTAATTGTGTATATTATCTCTATTTCTGAATACTTGCAATTACAACTTCACAATTCACGAGTATTTGATTTTGACAAGTTTTCTTTTTACGAGTGAAAGACATAATATTTTTTTATTTTAAATTTTTTTTAAAAAAATTAAAAAATAATGTGTAATTTGTTGTTGAATCGGTTTCATTGTATATCTCAAACAATTTTTTTATTTACGATTGTTTTTTATTGATAGGACGTCGTCAACCTATCAAGAAATAAGACCTAACTTGATCCTACTAAACTAGTAGCAAGGGCAAGAAAGGGTCGAACCCATGAGAGGCGTTGAATCAACCACCAAATGTTATTGTTTAAACAAGCTAGATTAAGTCGGGGGTTTTAAGTTGGTATTACGTCACACTATTCTAATTCAAATCAACTAATTCTAAGAGGTGATTAACAATATTAAGAAGGCCTAGGGCATGGGTTACACCACTCAACTTCATCACGGACCACAAGTAGCATGCATAGAAATGGTGATTTAGGGGATAAATTAGGGGAAGTTATCAAATGCACCCAACTACTCTCTCAAGCTAGAGGGATTACTTGACATCAAAACCATAACCTACTCTCGTGATTATGGGCAAGAAACAAGTGTTAAAACATCCTCACGATAACATGCAAATTCCCTTGACTAGAAATTCCTATTCTCATGGAAAATCAAGTCAATCAAGCATAAGGGAGCTTCCTCAAGTTCATCTCTCGATCCTTCGTTGAGGAAGCTAGATAAATAATTCAAGCAATGGCCAATTACAAGAATTAACAATGAAACCTCTTAAACTCAACTAATTAACACCCCACAATTAACAAATTAGTACATGCAACAAGTGTTGGTGATTACATTGAGGGTTCACCCAAACCCTAGAAATTAGACTACTCACAATCCATGGAAGTTAAAGCAATTAAAGATTTCAAGGAATTCATGAACAAATTAAAACTAAGAATTAAGTAGAATCTAACAATTAAACATGCAAAGAACAACCAAACAATTAATAAAAAGCAAGAATTAAAGATAGAAGAGAGAAAGAAAGAGTAAGAAAAATTACTAGAAACTTCAATAATTGACTAACAATGGTGGAACTTGTCTTCTACAATGATTGGATTGAAAACCTTCAAAACAAGAACTAAAATCTATGCTAATTTGAGGATTTTTGTGTTTCAAACTAAGAGGAGTATGAAAATCTGGAAAAAAAAATTGGGAACCCCTCTAAAATGGTCCAAAGGGGCTATTTATACTACCCCCTAAAATAAGAGGACAGAGAAAACAAGAAACGGGTAAACTGTAGGTCTGCACGGACGTGCTGAAGTTGGCACGTCCGTGCAGACCAAGGCAGAAACTCAGTTTAAGACGACCTGCTGCAGCACGGGCGTGCACCTTTGGCACGTCCGTGCTGCATCATCCGCACGGACGTGCAATATTTGGCACGTCCGTGCTGCCTCATAATCACGGAAGCACGTCCGTGCTGCATCATCTGCACGGACGTGCAATATTTGGCACGTCCGTGCAGGCCTTGGCAGAAAGATGGGTTCAGGTCTGCACTCCTGCACGGACGTGCAACATCTTGCACGGCCGTGCAGGGTCTTCTGGGCCCTTTTCTTCGTGTTTTCTTCTACGATGCTCTTGTACTTGGATTCTTTCCATCATTTCCTTGCTTCTAACCTCGGTTTGGTAACCATGGGCTTCATTTGGTCGTCTTTGGACCTAAAATCTCAACAAAAACACTAACAACCCGTGAAGCATAGGATACACAAAAATTGCATAATAATAGGGTAAAAGTGAACCAAAACACAAATTTGTTCAGGTAAACTAGGTTCAAATACGCCCTAAAACCGCATAAAATAGCAAGTTATCAAATCCCCCCAAGCTAAGCTTTTGCTCGTCCTCGAGCAAACTAGTCATGACAAAACAAATAGAGGGAACTAACTTGTTATAGAAGGTTGAAGCAAAAGTTAAACCAAGAAAGGGTAGGCATACACAATAAACCGAATGATCACTTTTAGCAAAAGTGAGAAGCCGTTTAAACCTACAAGTCGCCTAGTAGGACGAGTCCATCTCTCGTGAGGGTTTCCAAAGAGAATCACCCACAACTCCCACAAACACAACACACGATTTTTTTTTATAGCCCAAGTCAACTCATCGGGATGTGATTCAAAAGCAAGACAAGTGAACAACATTCAAAAATCAACATCATAATAATGTACACATGAGTTAGAGACCAAGAAGGATGCTGAACAAGATTGCAATGGAACACTTCCTTAGGCTTTTTACTAGTTCATTAAAGCACATTTGCTCATTCCTAAGTCATAGCACATTTTTATTTTCGGTTATAAAATAGTGAAATACAAGTCCACTTCCCAAGATGCACAAACAAACTCCCTCCACTACACTCTACTATGAGATTTTTACAAGAGGAAACTAAAGATAAAGGGTGTGGGAGGCATCCACAAATTGACCTCAAAAGGGAAATGTAAATTTTTTTTTTCATAAGATAAAGCCCTTGAATTTGAGACTTTATTTATTTGCTCCGCCTTTTTTGACTGTTGAGCGGCATTTTTTTTTTTTTTTTTTTTTTTTAGAAATTGTGGTTTATTTTACCAATTTATTTAATAAACATAAACCTAATAAATCTCAAGCAAAGCTTTATTTTGGGAAGAGTGGAAGGCACACCAAGGGCACAAGGGACCGCAAATCAACTAAACATAACCTACTTCAAGTGTGCTTAGACAATTCCATGAACTTAATGTGCAAATGAACATTCATCGACTTTCATTTCATGTTCAAACCAAGACAATCAAGTTTAATAAACTCCTATATGACTCCAACCCTTGCATACACTTTTCTAAGAGTAACTTGTCATTCAAAAGCGAAGCAAGTAAATCACACACGAATCGTCATATGAGTTTCATCCTTGGGCACTTTTTCATCATTTTTTTTCATTTTTTTCTCTCTTTTTTCTTTTAGAAATCAGGCTAAACTAGGCATAAAATAACTATACATCTAAATAAGGGATAGGAGAAGTATTCACAATGTAAGGGATTTGGATTTCAAAGGAAGCAATTTGGATTCAAAGGGTTTGGATGTTAGGGAAATGGGAATAGGGGCATGCAAATCAACATATACGTACGAGAACACAGCATGAACCAATGGTAAATGAGAAAATACTCCCCCCCAAGCTATCATAAACATTGTCCCCAATGTTGAAACAATATAAGCACAAAGAGAAGGGGAAGGAGATACTAACTCATTGGTTCGGGCCCCCTTGGGAGCTCGAACCCCCGGGGTAGAGATGCTGATATACATTGCGGAAGTCGCCCAATTCCGTTCGAAGACCCTCAAAGCTTGACCTTATTCCGTCGAAAGAAGTCCTCAAGTCTTCATTTGACTTCCTCATGGTCTCAAACTCGGAAGTCATGCGGGCGAAGTTCGCATTCATATTAGCCATCTGCTGCTCGAAGGTGAGGAATGGGTTGCCTTCACCCATGCCCTGACCTTGGTACCCCTCTTGGTACCCTTGTTGGAACTCGTACTGCTGGTGAAATTCTGGTTGTTGCTGAAATTGTTGTTGTTGATGATGTTGTTGTTGTTGATGTTGTTGTTGTTGATGCTGTTGTTGTTGCTCTTGCTGCTCTTGCCCTTGTTCCTCTCCCTCTTGACCGGGAGCCCAAGGGAAGTCCCTCTCAAAGATCCAGTTCGCCTGGTTGTAGATGGCGGTGGCCTCGGGGTCGGGTAAGTAGGCATAGGGGCGCCTACTCACCAACCACAAATAGGGGTGGTTCCCCTCTACATCCGTGAGCCATTTCATGGCTCTCAGCGACTGCATATCCAACTGTGTTGGACCTGGAACAACCTGCTCTTCTGCAAAATCAAGGTTAAGAGCAGCAGCAATTATAGTAATCATACCACCTATGGTGATGTTGCCTGATCCTGTGGCAACATCTTCTAGGTGGTCCATAAACCAAGACCCCGCATTTAAACTCGTACTACCCTCACTCAGATGCCATAGAAAGTAAAGCTCTCGAGTAGACACGACCCCTGAACTGTCTCCCCTAGCAAAAGCTGTGTTCGCTATGGTACGCTGGGCGATCCTAAAGGCAGGGTGAATAATGGCTGTGGCCTTATCAGTTCTAGGGTTATACCCAAACAGCCCTGTGATTCTTCTCCAAAATTCACCCGCCATATAGTTACGGGGTAGCCTATCCTTAGGCCCCATAGTTCCAGAAACAGGCCACCCGAAAGCTTGGTTAACTCTCGCTACGGACATTCTATGTTGGGCATTCATGAGCTGGAAGGTCATGTAACGGGGGGATCTTGTGGTGTCACGGTGCACACAAAGGGAGGAGAGGAATTCTAGGGTCAGTCTCCTATAGGTTAAGGCATGTAACTCTAGCCAAGAACCTAGGTCGGCTCCCTCGAATAACATTGTGATGTCAGCTCCTACCCCTAAGGCGTCCGCCACCTCACTATCATAGAATTTGGTGGGCTTGACCCGCCTCCTACTGATTTTAAGGAAATTGGCCGAAAAGGCCTGGTCAGCGAAAACTATTCCCATTGTGTCCACTTGCGCTGGATCAACGGGAGGAGGAGGCGATGGGTTCCTAAATCTAAGGGAAGAGGTGTTTCGGGATTGGTTTCTTCTTGACATGGTTGTTTTTATTTTGTTTTATTTAGAATGACTAAACCCGCCACACAAAGAGATCAAGACACTAAACCAATTCACCAAGTAATTTTAAGGTCAACAACCCAAGACTTAGCCACACCAAAGGACACCACAAAGAATAATCCACACAATCACAAAAACTCACAAAACCTAAACAATTAATCCTCACAATATTCAATTAAACCCATAATGCTTTACATAAAAGCACAAATACTCAACAACTATCAATTCAACCAAGATTGCAAGCAAAAATAAGCACAAAACAACAAGTTTCAAGTATGGAAATAGTAAGTGGAAGGAACGATTATACCGAGCTTAACGTGGGTGTAAAACCCGCAAATGAACCTTCCTAGCCTTCCTTTCCCTTGCTTGAACCTTTTCCTTCAACCAATTGTTAAAATTTCAATCCAAAAGAAAACCCCCAAATTGATTTTTTTCTTCTTAGGGTTTCGGTTAATGGGTGATTTTTGGGTTGAAGATTGGAGAAAGGAGTAGTATTTTGCGTTTTTGTTGAAAAGGA